CCTTTCTGAGAACAATCTATTGCAAATCGGCTAGGCTAGGCTAGGCCATGCTCTGTTTTGCTGGGGCCATACAGTTGACAGAAATAAAGACTTTCATTTCTGTTCCCCGCGCATATTTAGTATTTAAAGATTTGGCTGAGCGGTTTGGCAAATATAATTCTAACAAAAATGAATGAAAAACTTACAACGAAACGGTTTATCATTCTCTTAATGATTCAAATGGAATGAATGAACATTTCATATTTTGAATCAAACTTAAAATATATTTTTGTATTTATACAGGATAATGAACAGATAAAGTGAGTTGTGCTCAAGCAATGAAAGTTGAAATAGCACTGGAAATGAATGAACTCTGTTTATATATGAACCTCAGCATCATAATGTTGAGAAGACAATCGCAGAATAACATACGATATTATTTCATTTATATAAAGCTCAAAATCATTCTAGCTAAAACATTATTTAGGCAAGGAAATGATTTAAAAAAAAAAAAAAGATTCAGGAAAGTGGTTACCTAAGGCATGGGATGTGTGGGGTAGGTAGGGAATGTGACCAGCAGGACACATGGGAGCTTCTTGGGTATTGGTCATGTTCTATTTCTTAACTTAGATGAAGGTTACATGCAAACTTGACTTACTACTGTCCTTTAAGCTATACACACACACACACACACACACACACACACACACACAGATGTATACATACATGGCCTTTACTTGAAAATTTGTTGATACTTAAATGTATAATCATGCTTATTTATTTATTTTACATACTTAAATGTATAATCATGCTTATTATTTTCATTTATTAGAATGAATAACATTCTAATGAGTATATCTCACTTCACATTCCATAGTCAAAATAAAAATGTTACTTAAGTTTTTGCCTGAGTTTATTTGTGAAGCAAACATAATATTTCTGCTAGCGAAAGCCATAAAAAATAGTTTTTGAGTAAGTTGTACTTTATAGATGCTGAAACCCTGTTCTAATACTGCCTTTAGGATTCATATCTCAGAAGTGACATGACATTTCTATACAGTTTTCGCTATTCTAGTAAGTAAATATCCTAAAATTGGAAAGGAGCCTAGGCTAATACTAAATTAACTAAAATAAACTAAATTATCTCTATAGAAATAATGTTATGGTGAAGTCTTCATACAGTTTAAGGTGCTTAATACATATCACAATGACTTAACTGAAAATTTTGTCTTACATTTAAGGATCTTACCTATTTTCCTAGTGGGATTCAGGTGGATATGAATAAAACTCAGTATCCATTCATCCATTACCTTATTCATTTCTTCAATTAAAAGTTATCAAGTTCCCCCTTGGTCTTACATTATACTCAGTGTGTTTGCTATTCTAAACCAACACAAACTGAGTACCCGTAGCCCTGTCCCTCTCTGTGTCTACTTGGTGAGAAGGAGAAAAAAAAAAAAAAGAATATTCAACTTGCAAATATTTTCCATAGCCATACAAGGACACTTTTATTAAACTGCCTCCCCTTTGGAAAAAAGGCTTATGTGACAATATTTTAGGGCAATAAATTCCATGGTTATTTATATTTGTATGAACATAATAATCTTAAATAATTCCAATTGATATTTGTGAATTATTGTTACAATCACAAACAGAAATGAGAAATCTATCGTGTAAAACATGAAAATATTATCTAACCAAATAGGTTGTGAAAAGAATAATAAATGAGGAAAAAATATATAGGTTATGCTGACTAAAATTTGGTGGAAATATGTATGATTTTAAAAATATCCAAACCAAAAGCTAAGAAGAGATACCACTCCACTCTTCTTTAAATGAAACATGCACCCAGAAGAGTTACTCTCTTGGAATTTCATAATAGTTTGAAAATGTCTAGCGAGTACTCCTGAGTACCACTGGAACATACATTTCTACTGTCTTCCATTATATATAGTCTACCATTAATGGATGTCATGTCACCGAATTTCAATTTAGGTAACACAGCTACATAATGTATAACTGAATATCTAATATAGTAATAAAATTTAGAATGAAACGGGGCACTTAATGTCAGCTTTTCAAAGTCTTATTTTGCAGATGAGGAAAGTGAAACCCAAGTCTTCTCAGCTAGTTTGGGGCAGAGTCATGACCTGTGGCCAAGACTCCTGATTTCCAGTAATTCTTGTTCCTTTAAAACATGTGCCCTCTTCAAAGACTGGGTAAATCCAGTGACCTCCCTTGAAGAGACGACATGTAATTTAGAACAAGGAGGAACATTCTATGTTCCCCCTCACTCTTTTCCAGAGTAGAGAGGAATGAGGTGTGACTGATCAATATCAACACGGCATCGTGAGGACCCACCCTTTCCAGGAAAAAAGAACACTTCCTGTGCAGAATCCAAATACTTAGCAGAGACTAAGATTCATGCTTAGCGGTTGGCTGATGTTTGAACACAGATGATGTACACGTACACACAGAGTTGCTACATAATGAAACTCTAGGTTTTCCTGGAGAGCCTCATCTGGAAAACACATGGCCAGAGAAAGGATCTCCTGTGAATATTGGATGATGCTGGGGAAACAGATCTTTTACATGGTGTGTGGCTGTCTTCCCACCATCCTTGGCGCTGATCAGCACGCAAGGTAAGGCCCAACTAACAAAAACAGAGGTTTAAAAACAATTTGAGGCTTTACTGAATTCTTAACCCAAGAGTGTAAGTCTTCTAAGATTGAAGCTCATCCGAGGGAGCAAATTAATTACCAATGGCTTCAGTATAAGATTCCAGGGTTTATCTCTTTCCCCTTTAGTTTGAGAGAGAACATGCATTTTCCAGTAAGGTTCCTTGGTCCTTCCTCCCCAGCCCCCACCTGACCCCCAGCTGTCTTCCAGCTTTCTCTGTCACTCATGCCCCCCTTAAGGAGTGAACCTGCTGCATGTTCCAGCCACAAGATAAGGATCAGTTAAGAGTCCCTCCCTCATGACCGTTCTCCCCAGCTTCCCATCCTCTTGGTGGATCCAGTTCAAGTGGCTTCCCTGTCCCCTCATGGCTTTCA